TATTATAACTGCACAAAAAGACAAGCAATTCAACTAAAAGCTGAGTTGAAAGACAGTCTCCAGAGAAGGTACACAAATGGCCGATCACCCCAGAGAAAGATGCTAAGCATCATTAGCCATCAGCAAAATGCAAATCAAAACCACAGTAAATACCAGCGCATCCCAGGAGGATGACCATGGGGAACGATAGACAATAACAAGTGTTGACAAGGTTGTGGAGTGATTGGAATCCTCCTCGATTGGCCAGTGGGAGCTGTTTTGAAGAACCCTTTGGCAGTTCCCCAAGAATGAAATGTAGAGTTACCCTCCCATTCCTGGATCTTTAGCCAAAAAAATAAAAAAAAACTTTCTGTATACACACACACACACACACACACACACACACACACACACACACACACGGAGGAATTTTCTTTGTTCATATTAGCCAAAGAATGGAAACAGCTGAATTTTCCACCAGCTGGTGAATGGATAAGCAAAATGAAGAATCTGGTTAGAATAATATTCAGTTACGGGAAGGAGCAGAGGGCCTACGCATGCTGCAGTGCAGAGGGCCAACGCATGCTGCAGTGCAGACGGACCTTGAGAATGTTATGCTAGGTGTGAAAAAGCTCATCCAGAGACTACACTTTGTAAGATTCCATTTTTGTAAAATGTCTGAAACAGGGAAACCCATGAAAATAGAAGACTGGCCAAGGGCTCCAGGGAGGGAGAATGGGTAGTAACTATTGAGGGGAGAGGGGTTAATGAACTGTTCTACAATAAGATAGTGTGACAGTTCCTTACATTGTAAATGTACTTTCAAAAAAAAAAACCACTTAATCCGACACGTTAAAAGATAACTTTTATGTAATTTGAGTTATATCTCAAGTTTTCTGCATTTATTTATTTTATTATTTGTCATTAGAGAAATGCAAATCAAAACCACAGTAAATAGCAGTGTGTCCCCAGAAGGATGACCATGAGGAAAGATAGAAAACAGTAAGTGTTGACAAAGGTGTGGAATGATGGGAACCCTCCTATATTGGGGGCTCTCTAGTCCCTATTTCTTGGGATTTTTTTATGTGTAGAATCCAGATGAATCCAGATGAATCCAGAATACCAGATGAACTCCATGGACTGACTTCTGTTACCCATCCTCATGTCCTTGAGATATAACCCTGGGCTTGTCACTTGTTGCTTATACTACATTTTGTTCATATTTATCTATATGTGTATTATATATTATATATAATATCTATAATACACATATATACACACATATATGTATATTAAGGAGTTTTATTGAGGTATAATCCATCACACTTTACTTGAAGATCAGGAATACAGAACCCAGAGAGTGATGACATCTGACCAAAAAGAACTAAGAACAGCGAAGGGACATGCCTGTGCCGCTAAAACACAAAGTCAATTTAATGTGCTCTGAAAGAATGTGGCTTCAACCACCCCACAGTGACCAAAGAGAACAGTGCTTGCTCCCATCTACCCAGACCCTAGCCACCTGGAAACTGAGGCTGTTCATGGTCACGACTTCTGGAGGGACATGGAAAGCTTTACTGTGGCCCTTCTGCTCTAAACCCTTGGAGGAGTGAGGGATCGCAGAGACTCACCACATCGTTTATCAGTGCAAACGTGTGTGTGACTTGTGCCAGGTTAGATGCAGAGAGACAAGGGACCCACGGTGCTCCATAAATAGGACATGTGGAAGACTTGCTCTTCTGTCAGAGCCATCTGCAGAAAACCTTTGTGCTGATTAGAAGTTAACTTCCAAGATTACTGGTCCAGGGAAAACAACGCAAACCAGGAAAGGGAGCTGGAGAAAAGTGCCCACGGAACAACTTAGAGATGGTAACGCCGTATCCTAGCAACTGTGTGGACCTGTGTGGGAGAGACTCAACGTTCTTTGGGACCCAGATAGATCTCACAGACCAAACTCAGTGGCCCCGACCTCCAGAGTCACTCCTCCCCATGCCTGTGTTGACAAGAGAGGCTTCCTATCCATCTGCAGCCACTCAGCTCACTTCTGTCAGCATTCTACCCTGATCAGAATCCTAAACTGTCCTTGAACCATGGAAACAGCAGTCTAAGGAATCCTGAGACTTGAACTCTTGGTGAAGTCGTTTGCGGTGTGTGTGTGTGTGTGTGTGTGTGTGTGTGTGTGTGTGTGTGTGTGTGTGTGAGTGTGTGTGCATGCCATGTGTGTGAGGGTGCCCACAGAGGCCAAAAGAGGGTGTCAGATCCCCTGGAGCCAGAGCTACAGGTGATTGTGAGCCACTCAATGTGGGTGCTGGGAACCAAACTCAGGTCCTCTGGGAAAGGAGTACGTTATAGTGATTGCTAAGCCATCTTTCCATCTCCATCTCTTGGTGGCCCCAGCAACACCATCCCCCCGAATACCATCTCTCTTTAAGCCCTCAATTGCCCTGGGTGTCACTGCTGATTGGCAGCCCAGTGTCACCTCAGAACTTATTCAAAAAGTAAATTCCTTGGCGCTCCCTGCACCCACCCTCTTCCTGAACTGGAACGTGCATGTTGACAAGAAGACTTTGGTGTGTGTGTATGTGCACATCTGTATTTCACAAGCTCTAAGCTAGGCCAGTGGCTTTTCAGTTGTGGTGGCTAAGGGGCACACTTGGCTGTCCTAAGTGGGGAAATGGAGTGATTCCTTTCCCATTGCTGAAAATGATGGAGACCTGCACCTTCCCACCTGGTCCAAGATGGGAATCCAGGACAGCTAACAAATTTGGGACTGGGGCCATGCCCTCTTTCTGGGAGGAATTATAATAGTACCTCCCTCTCACATAGAACTGTGAACAAGGGCTTCCCCTATCTCTAAAATGGACTTCCCCATCTCTAAAATATGTGATACCACTGTTTGTGGTGGTGCATGCTGGTAGGATTTGCTGAAGGAGGCATTTGCGGAGGCATCAGGATCATGAGTTTGAGGCCAGCCTGGACTACACATTTAAAAATAAATGAATAAATAAATAATAAAATATGCAATGTCTCTGTGCCTCAGGGTTACCTAAAGACACAGGGACTTCTCAGAAGCACAATTACTCTCAAATAGGACCAGCAGTCACTCCATGGAATGGAGATGAGTTTTGACAGTTCATTTGGCTGGGAGGGGCTAAGCTTTGTTGTCACCAAGAAAATACAAACTATAAATGCATGTCCTACATAAGCCACAAACAGAAATAACAGCTGTCATTCCAGAACACTTCTGATGTCCAGGATCTGGGCTAAATGGATAATTTCAGTCCTAGCATATGAGGGTAATGTCACTGATGCCTTCATTATATATTCTAATCCCAGGCCACAAAGGCAGTTTGGCATCTAAGTCTGCATTCTCAGCCCTACGCCACATGTGACAAGTTACAGAAGAGCTCTGAGTGGTGTCGGAAGAGTCAGCTGTTGCTTACACAACAGAAATTTCGTGTGTGTGTGTGTGTGTGTGTGTGTGTGTGTGTGTGTGTGTGTGTGTGGCACTGGAACTCTTTGTGTAAGACCCACAGACTTAGCGAAGTTCCTATGTAATAAAGCAGATCCAACTGTACCTTTTCTGCTTAAAGATGGGAGGAGGAAGGATCTGGGAGCCTGGCTTGCTCCCACACCCCACCCCTACCCTCTATTCACTCACAGGAAGTGGATCCACCTCTGTGATCTCTGGCCTCTGATATTTCCAATCCAAAATCCACTCCCTGACCTCTTTGTACCTGGGTTAACTGGAAGGTTCTCCCCAGTTCCCGTCTCGCAGGATAAGCCAGGGGCAAATTAAGGATGTGTTTTTGAAGGGAGAGGTCCTGGTATGTGTTAGCCTTTGAGGGATGGGCAGGATATTTTTAAGAATGATGAACTTGATTAAGTGCCTAGCTTACAATTATTGCAAAGCAGCAAGAGAAAGGAAATGCTTCGAGGACGTTGTAATGGAGAATTCAGTGGTGTGAGGTTGTGGACAGCGGTGCTGTGAGGTTGTGCACAGCGCAGTGAGAGAGTTCTTGCCTTGCATCCAGCAGCCCTGGGTTAGATCCTCCAGCACCCAGTAACAATAATGAGACTGTTGAAACCGAATACCTTGTGTCTAGGTAGAATGTTGGGTTTGAACACCCAGTATCTACCTAGACAAAGCTTCAATCTAAGCCGGATGTGGTGGTGGTGTTTGCCTAAGCCCAATATTTAGGAAGCTTGGTGAGTTCAAGGCTAACCTGAGCTATATATCAAAGCCCTATCTTAAAATGAGAAAGATCCAGTCCAGCATGGACTTGCATTTAGGAGTAAGCTTGTGTAATAAGTATGAATGAATTGGCATTAGTCCAATTCAAGAAAGGTTTGGGTGTGTGTTGGGAGTGCTGGCACAGCACTAACTGATCCTTAGTTCATGGAGGACCTGTGTACCCAGAAGCCAAAAAAAAAAAAAACTTTAGTCTGAGGCTTAGGCTGTCCCACACCCAGTCACCATTCACCACACTTTCACAAGGGGACCTCAGGCAGACTGGTAAAGGGACCCAAGTAGCAAATGACTTGCTGTGCATCTAAAAGACATGTGCCATTCTGTCCTTCTGACTATGCCCCTCAAGGTCAATCCAGGAGAGAACAACACAGCCATTCTCTACCACCAGCACTCTGAACCTGGGAGGGTGGGAATGCAAGAGGCTATATTAGAGTCTTTTAGATATGACCATGTAGTCAGACTTTTATTTGGGCCACCAGCTCACAAAAAAAAATGACATGGAGACTTATTATTAATTATGAAAGCTCAGCCTATAGCTTAGGCTTGTCCCACTACTCCAGACTACAGATGTACAACAGCAGGCCTCAAACGCAGGAGTATTTACAACCTCCAAGGAGCATTGACTCGCACTTATAAGCAACTGCTCCTACTTGTAACTCTTCTGAGTCCCACCCTGTTTCTCTTTGAACTTACCTGGATGGTAAGGGGGAAATCTTTACAGGACAGATTTACATCTAATACTTGGCTGTTTTTCTCTCCTTGTACCTAGTTCCATATGTGCTGAAGAGCTGTGCTGAGTTCATAGAGACTCACGGCATTGTCGATGGAATCTATCGTCTCTCAGGTATCACCTCAAACATCCAGCGGCTAAGGTAAGCCAAAGGAAGAGCCCAGACTTCTCCAGGGATCCTACCTTTCTTGTGTCTCTGCTGGCGCTTGTTGGGAGTCCTAGAAAACTGAAAGATGGCCTCTGTGAGGTGCAGCTGCCTGGCAATTCTAACTCTAATCAGGAGGCTCCCAGCCTGGTGGAATTCTTTCCAAGGAAAACGCCTTTTTCTTTGTCTTGGGTAGGGTTTATGCGTCTTTGACGGATTGGATTTACCTCACATGATCTAAATTACAAGTTAGGAAACATGTTTTTTTTCTAAAGCCCAGTCAGATTAGGGCCCCTCACACAGTGCTCAGAACTCTAAGGCCCTGAGGAGGTTTTCTTTGGATGCGCTCTTGATATTTCAGATGGTTGAGAAATTAGAAGCCTGCATAATCGTACATTTCTCTAATCAATGCTGATTTTTTAAGTTACTTGGGACCAGTGATATGGCGCCACAAGTAAAGATACTTGCTGAGCAAGCCCAGTGGTCTGAGTTTGATCCCTGGAACCTGCATAGGCAGGAGGAGAGAACTGACTCCACAAAGTTGTCCTCTGACCTCCATATACAACCAGTGGCAAGTGTGCCTTTCACCTCCCCCATACACCAGTAATTTTTTTAAATGGATGATGTATAAGAACCTTTAACTTAAAAAAAAAGATATGTATAGAGTGTATATAGAATATATGAAATAAGCTGGGCAGTGGTGGCACACGCCTTTAATCCCAGCACTCGGGAGGCAGAGCCAGGCAGATCTCTGTGAGTTCGAGGCCAGCCTGGGCTACAGAGTGAGTTCCAGGAAAGGCGCAAAGCTACACAGAGAAACCCTTTCTCGAAAAACCAAAAAAAAAAGAATATTTGAAATATATAGGTATTTTTCTGTGATTATTGCAATAGGCTTATTATTTTGCTTATTATTTATAATACCAATATTTAGTGGTTTAAAAAATATATTTATTATATATTTGTTAATTATAAATATCAATTCTAAAATGATAAGAATATACATTTAAAAAAAAAATTTTTTAAAGATTTATTTATTTATTATGTATACAGTGTTCTGTCTGCAGGCCAGAAGAGGGCACCAGATCTCATTACAGATGGTTGTGAGCCACCATGTGGTTGCTGGGAATTGAACACAGGACCTTTGGAAGAGCAAGCAGTGCTCTTAACCTCTGAGCCATCTCTCCAGCCCCCTAAAAATTTTTTGAGACAGGATCTTACTCTGTAGCCCAGGCTGGCCTGGAACTCAGGGCAATCCTCCTGCTTCTGTAGAACACTCACTGCAAAATCAATATGTAAATTGTGACATATTATGCATATTATATATTATATAATTCAGGTCTTGTCTTCTCCCTTCTCTTTGGTGCTTCATCTCCAAATCTCACTTTATAGCAAAGAATAAAACACTTTTATGGATGTTTAAAAAAAATCGGTTTATTACAAATATAGTTGTTTGTTTGTTTGTTTAATTTTGCAGTGCTGGGATGAAACCTAGGCCCTTGTGCATGCTAGCCAAGGGCGCCAATGTTGTGCTATACCCCAGCCTTATTGGGATTTCTTGACTCTGTGTACATGTAATTTAATTTACAAGTGTGCCTTTTGTTATTGTTGTTGCTAGGATTTTGTCTTGTTTGGTTTTGAAACAGGATGTCACTTTGTAGACTAGGCTGGCCTTAAACTCACAGGGATCCACCTGCCTCTGCCTCTGCCTCTGCCTCTGCCTCTGCCTCTGCCTCTGCCTCTGCCTCTGCCTCTGCCTCTGCCTCTGCCTCTGCCTCTGCCTCTGCCTCTGCCTCTGCCTCACAAGAGCTGGGAAGAAAGGTATGTGCCGCCACACCCACCCATTTGTGTGACTTCTTCATTTTTTAAGACAAGGTCTCACTCTATACCTCAGACTAGCTTTGAACTCACAACTCTCTTTCCTCATCCTCCAAAGTCCTGGGATTACAGGTGTGTGCCACCATGCATGGCATGAGTGTGCCATGCCTGAGAATTTCATTTACAGCATTTTTTTTCTTTCTTTCTTGTTGGGGACCAGCACTGGGCCTTGAGCTCAGTCAAGTGCTCCACACTGAGCTTCCCTCCCAGCCTCTACTCCTAGTAGTTACCTCGTAGGGGGTGACTCTTGGTCTGAAGTGCATGGCATGGTGACTGGCATCCCACAGAGACACAAGAGGGAAGTCCTATTCATTTAAAAACTGCCTTAGCCTTGACCAGGGAAAGTTTGGACAAAATGAATGAATATATTCTAGAATATATTCTCTTCTGCTCCCAGAAAAACACATGCACATGTGTTCACAGATTCATGAGACAGCTCTTCTCAAGGCCCATGAATTGCCTTGAGATTCTTACAGTATTAGAGAGAATTCTTTGAAGGGACAGAACCAGAGTAGGGGTAGGCAATGGGCTGATTTGAAAACACTGATTCTCAACATTGATCACTACCTTACTGACCAAGGAATATGCTTAGAAGCCTAACTTCTATATTAAAACTAAAACTTGTCATTTAAAAATCATATATGTAGTTTACAAGGATGTATTATTTGAGGCCGTGCATTCATGTAACCTTGTAAGGGGATAGTTTCTAATTTGACTCCGAGCCTAAACTGGGGCTGGTGACACAGGCCTGGGACCCAACACTCTGGAGGCTGAAGAAGCAATGATGTGAGTTCAGGACCAACCTGGCCTACACAGTGAGTCCCTGTTTCAAAAAAAAAAAAAAAAAAAAAAAAAAATGAAGCAAAAGAAAAGAAAATTAAATAAAAGGAAAGAAAGAAAGAAAACAGCACAGAACCTGGAGCCAGATTATCTTGGTGTTCCTAGGATCCCACTGTGAACTGCTTAGGATGGTCCCACACTCGTGGGACATGCCGGAGTCACCACCAAGCAACCCAGAAAGTTCCACTGAGCATCAGAGAGGTAGTTGAGTTAGGTCCTCAAGCCTTGGGTTTGACTACCCAGATAAAGCGAGTTTGTGACATGGCCGTGGAGCTCGGTGATAAGACATGACACCCACCCTACCCCACTTCCCGGTTTTAGGTCTCACTGATAAAAAGGAGTTTAATTTTGAGTAATGTCTTGAGAAAACTGAAATCTCAACAGGCTCTTTGGGCAAATTTTTCATACCCTTCCCAGTGCTCATTACCAAGGCACAGATATAGTGCCATTGGGAATTTCTGTTCCCAAATGAGTTTTCTGAGCTCAAGTCACAGCCTACTTCCAAGCAAGCTTCAGCCTCCAAAAGTGGTGTCCCTCCAATGGCCTCCTGGTGCCCATAGTAGAATGGAGGTCAAGAGGACAGGCAGATCAGCAATGTGGCCTCTTTTTACCCCCATACCTCCAAGCAGCTGCTGACATGGAGCACATGTTCCCTGGGATTGTTATGTCTCCGTCTGTGTTGTTTCAGGCAAGAGTTTGGCTCAGATCAATGTCCAGATCTGACAAGGGAAGTGTACCTCCAAGACATCCACTGTGTGGGCTCCCTGTGCAAGCTCTACTTCAGGGAGCTGCCCAACCCCCTCCTGACCTACGAGCTCTATGAGAAATTCACGGTGAGTGTTTGGATTTTCATTGTGGTTAGCGGGTGGGATACAGAGACCGGCCAAGGGCAGTTTCGACACTGAAATAACAATAATAAAACTCACCAGCTGGTTGGCATTATCTTAGCATAGTGGTGGACGTTAAGATGGCCAAGGGAAGGAGAGCTGTGGGTCTGTTTGCTAATTTCTTTCTTGGGTTTTTAGAATGATGCTGTTTGTTTTAAGAGCTGGGTGAAATTATTTCTTTGTTTATTCAACTGAATGCGCCTCATTGTACAGGGAGGAAACTGAGAACCAAAGAAGTAAAGTGGCTGGCCCAAGGTCACACAACAGAGGCAGGGCAGGAATCTGAGCAACCCCCTACCCACCATCCCCACTCCCACCCCCAACCCCGTACTTGCTAGATGCCATGATGGTTCATTTTCAAAAGAGTGTTCCTGCTGTGTTTGGGGTTGGGCTCAGGGAGAGAGACCAGTAGGTAGAAAAGGGAGAGAGAACCCCCAAACATCAAAAGATAGATCAGAAAGCTAAGAAGAGAAAGGAAATGGAAAAGTACCTGGACCGGGCCGAGAGAGGATGGGACGGGATGGTGGGCTGCTGAGCCAAGGGCAGAATAGCGGCATCCTAGCATCAGAGGTGGGCTTGACAAGGTAGCCAGACACAGGGAGACAAAGGCTGCATGTTTTCTCTCACATTCTGATGCACGCTCATGGTGTGTGTGTGTGTGTGTGTGTGTGTGTGTGTGTGTGTGTGTGTGTGTAAGTGAATGTAAGTGTAGGTACAGGCTAGGACACTAGAGTGTAGACCCAGAAAGGGGGAAAGAGGTATGCAGGAAGTGGTGGGCAACAGGACACATGGGACATGAATGTAGAAAGAGGCTTTGGTGGGTGGCAGGGGACAAGGGGAGCGCTCAGGCCGAGGGCAAAAAAAGGTGAGACTTGACAAGAACAGATTTTGTTTGACAGTATTATAATGAAAACTAATACCAAGCGCATAGTGATTAAAAGCTTTAATTGAGGGAACCAGCTCCCTCTTTCCCCCCCAGGGTACTCTTGAAGAGGGAGAAGTGAGAAATATTTAGATAGAAATATAGAGGAGAGAGACAGTTAGAAACATAGGATAGCCTCGGGAGGGCCTGGATCAAAACCCACTAGCCCCTTCTGTCTCTACTAAAGGGCTTTTAAGGGAATGCCAAGAGGTGGAGCAAAAGACCCCCCACCCCGCACAGCCAAGTGCAGACCATTCCAGACACCTGGTGACCTTGCACGTGGGCAAGCCATCCCCTAATGCAGCTCAGATCTCACTAGGAAACCATTGTGGGCTCCCACATTAATAAATAAGAAAGTGAAAATCTGGCTTAACTCATACGCCTACAGAGGTGGACTGCAGAACGGGGGGTTAATGGAAAAGCAAAAGAAGAGAGGGATGGGGGATGCTAAAATACTGGACCACATCATCCAGTCTGGGGAGGAAAGAAAGGAGAACAGATCAGAGGAGTACCGGGAAGGTACTTGCTCATCCCTGCAAGGCCTGTGCAGTGCTGGAGGGCAGGGGTCAGGGAATCGCTCGAATTAGCATCATAAATAGAAATGAACCAAATCTGGGCTCTAGTGGTGTGACAGGCTGTTTCTCAATATCCTGTAATAAACTTTTGACCACATGAAAAGTTACTTAGTTCAAAATCATGCAGAAATAAATGAATAATTATTCTTTTTTGGTGTTTTTGTTTTTGAGACAAGATCTTTCTGTGTAGCCCTGGCTGTCCTGGAACTCACTTTGTAGACCAGGCTGGCCTCGAACTCACACAGATCCACCTGCCTCTGTCCCCCAAGTGCTGGGATTAAAGGCGTGTGCCACCACTGCCTGGCATGAATAATTATTCTCAAGAGTTGGGCTTGGAACCTCACAATGGATTTAAGTATTTTCACTGATATAGGAACAAGGTCACAGTGATCATTGAAAAGCAGGGGGGAAAAAAACCAAGATACATAAATGTATATTAAGAAATGCTTGGGAGGGCTGGAAAGATGGTTCAGTCATTAAAAGCCACCTGTAGTTCCAGTTCCTGGAGGCTCGACACCCTCTGGCACCTTTGGGTACTGGCACACATATATAGTACACACAAACTCACAAAGGCACAGTTACATACATATACATGCATCTTAAAAGAAAGGCAGACTTGAGATGGTGCCCACCCTAACAACCCCAGCTCAAGTTCGGTCTCTGAGACCAACATGGTAGAGAGAGAGAGAGAGAGAACCGACTCCCACAGTGTCATGTGACATGCATACATGTGCCATGGTCCACGTGTATACACACGCGCACGCGTGCATTCACACACACACACACACACACACACACACACACACACACACACACACGCACATAATATTTTAAGAAAAAGATAATTTTTTAAAAGCCTGAAAGGAAGGAAATTCAAGAGTGGTGTTCATTTTAATGGTATGACTATAGTATTAGCTCTTTTGTATATTAATTTTCATAACCTGACCCACAGAATACATTGATTTCTAGTGAAAAATAGCCCAAAGCACATGAAAACCTTAATCATAAATGTTCAACTACACCAACCTGTAGTTGCTGGTGTAGAGTTGTGGGTGGCTAGGGGAATTCTTCATAAGAAACTTTAGAAACGATTTCTTCCTAATTCTGTCAATAGCCTAGGGTCAGCTCCTCCGTCCCGCTCCTGCCGTGACAAAATTCATTTTTTGGTCCTTTTACCAGGACTGGGAGAATAGGAAAAATAGAAAAAAGACATGCTGGAAGGCAACTTTTTGTCAGCTTTTCATCTGATTGAAGGAAATAACGTGAGTTTAGACAGTACTGGACACTAAAAAGTAAAATAGGAATGTTTTGTTTCGGTTGCTAATTTCTACAGAGCTAAGGCCTACTGATTAATTATGTTGCAGAATTTGTCCTTTAGTGGATTTATTTGACTCCAGTAATGAATTTGATGGTATAAGCAAACCTTGGGGATGTGAAAATTACAGCTCTATCACACTCTCACACTTTGTCTGACTTACTTGCATGGCTGAAGTCAAATACTACCTCATTGGATTAATAAGAGGATTTAAAAAATAATAATGGAATAATAATGATAATAGCTGCCATGTAACTGAGTGATTAGTCTGTCATAAACTCATGAGCAGCATCTCAATTAGTACCTTTTACTCCTAACTAGGATCTCATTTAGTGCCTTTTACTCCTAAGTAGAATCTCATTTAGTACCTGTTACTCATGAGTAGGATCTCATTTAGTACCTTTTACTCCTGAGTAGGATCTCATTTAGTACCTGTTACTCCTGAGTAGGATTTCATTTAGTACCTTTTACTCCTGAGTAGGATCTCATTTAGTACCTGTTACTCCTGAGTAGGATCTCATTTAGTACCTGTTACTCCTGAGTAGGACCTCATTTAGTACCCGTTACTCCTGAGTAGGACCTCATTTAGTACCTTATGAAGTAGTTCCTACTGTCACCCTCAGCTGAGTACCGGTCCTAGGTGGAGATAAAGATGCAAATTCTGCTCACAGCTCCCACACCACTCATATACAGTGTGGGTTCTGAAAGGTGTCAGCTATTAGTAACCTAACAGAAGACACAGTGAAAGATGATGTCCATGAGCCGTGTTGAGAGCCAGCTACCTATGGGGGAAAACGAGTTACCTTCTTACTGTTTAGCAGGCCTCAGAGTGTTGAAGAGTGTCCTCACAGAAAAAGCAGAGGGAAAAAAAACAAAAGCCAAATTTGACAAATTAAACCACATATACATTATCTTTTCCTATGCTAAAAAATACACTGATAAAATTAAAATGTAAAATATTAATATAAACATTAATAATAAAAACTATTTAGGTTGATGGAGAGATGGGGTGTGTGTGTGTGTGTGTGTGTGTGTGTGTGTGTGTGTGTGTGTGTGTGTATTTTTTCTCCCGTTGGGCTGGAAAAATGGCTTACTAGTTAAGAGCACTGGCTGCTCTTCCAGGAGACCCACATGGTGGTTCACAACCATCTGTAACTCCAGTTCCAAGGGATTCAACATACTTTTCTCACTTCCTCAAGCACCAGGTATCCATGTGGTGTGAGAACTTACATGCTGGCAAAAGCCCCATACACATAAAATAAAATAAAACTTATTATATATATTCTTAAGCAGGGCCTGATGGTGTCCCCGGGTAATCTCAGTGCTGGGAGATGAAGGCAAAGGATTGAGAATTCAGGACCAGCTGCAGCCATATGTCCAGTGAGAGGCCAGTCAGGGCTATATGGATCCATCTGTTAAAAATACACCATTCAGGCTGGAGAGATGACTCGGCAGTTAAGAGCACTGCCTGCTCCTCCAGAGGTCCTGAGTTCAATTCTCAGCAACCACATGGTGGCTCACAACCATCTGTAATGAGATCTGGTGCCCTCTTCTGGCCTGCAGGCATGCACGCAAATAGAGCACTCATGCATAAATAAATAAATATTTTAAAAAATACACTATTCTTAATAAATGACAAAGAGATTAATATTCCTTAATTATAGAGAACTACTGCTTATCAATAAAAAGAAAAAATACATAACACCTCACTTAATAAATGAGCAAAATACTTCAACAGACAATTCAGAGAAACATAATTATGTATAAGCTACTAGAAAGATATATTTGCATGTTAATCTGTTGTTGTTGTTGTTGTTGTTTTGAGATAGGCTTTCTCTGTGTAACAATCCCGGCTGTCCTGGAACTTGCTTTGTAGACCAGGCTGGCCTCAAACTCACACAGATACCCCTGCCTCTACCTCCCAAGTGCTGGAGTTAAAGGCATGCACCACCACCACCCAGCATGCATGTTACTTTTTTTAGAGATTTCTTTGGTCTAATTTATGTGTACATGTGTGCACCCACATGAGTGTATGTGCGCCCACATGAGTGTACATGCACCACACACATGTGCATGCCTAAGAGGGCATTGTGTCCCTGGAACTGGAGTTGCAGGTGGCGGGGAGCTTTATGTG